CGCCTTCTTCCGGAAGGTGCAGTTCAGCAAAACAATGAAAACAACATTGAGAGAAGGCCTAAGAATTCTTACATCAAAGTTAAAATTATCTCAGAAGTTATTCATCCAGAGGTAGCACAAGGTAAAATAAAAGCACACAGGTTTCATTTCATTTATATACTGAATATGCACCTGAAAAGTTGCATATAAATTGCATTTATTATGTAACGTTAAGTATTCATTTAAAGTAGTGTTTCCCCATTTACCTCAATCATAAAGTGTACTTGGGACATTGTTCAAATGCAGATTCTCTGGGCCCTCTTCTAGAGAATCTGATTCAACACCTCTGGGTTGGGGCCCAGGGATTTGTAGTTTAACCAAGTGCCTCGGGGTATTTTATAGATATTTTAAACTCAGATGAGTTTGGGAAGCAATGATTTAAAGGATTCCTACGGAGATTGCTATCATTAAGCATACATATCACCTTCAGCTTTGTTTTTATTAACCTACATTTTTGTGGTGCTGTCTAGCATTTTCTTCTTTTTCAGGTAGGTTACCTTTGCCTGTATGCCAGTTTACTCCACTGAAGATGAGAAACTAACCAAAGCACACTCTTTGCAGCGTTTCTCATTCAGACACAGCTGACAAGTCCATGTTTTCTGATGGATACAACGTGCAGTAGTTGAACAAGAGCAAAAGGAAGGCAGGAAAGGCAAGTTTTCTCATGCATGAGGCTAATGTTAAGGAGCGGAGATAGTCGTTGAAGGTGGTAGGTTGAACTAAAAGTTTTAGGAAGGTGGGTGTGTCACAGCAAACACTATTTGTACTTTGCTCCTCTTCTTTGGCTCTAATTCCCAGGGGCCCTGTAGTATGTGTACATTTATTCATCTCTGAATTAAGGAGTGTGCAAGACTTAATCCATTGTAGGGAGTAGAACACTGGACCCTAAGCATTAAACTGGAGATACTCAGGTATCACCCCACAGGACTGATGGTGTTCATTGGTTTCTTTATTTACTCGCTGGGTATTACTACCTCTTGATTACCAGGACCATTTACAAGCATAATTTCGTCTGGTTTAGAGTATGCCAATGCCTTAATTAATAAGTAGAGAACTGATTGTGTTCATTTACTAGATAGCACCATTATCTCTACTGTTGATTCACCCACACTGGGTTCCCTTCTGGTCCAAGAGCATGCTAAGCACACTGTCACCTCAGGGCCTTTGCACTTGCTCTTCCATCAGCCTGTAACACTCTTGCCCCAGGTCTCCCCACTTCCTTCAGGTCTCTACTCAAAGATCATCTCATTAGAGAAGCTGTACCTGACCACTATATATAAAAGCTCCCCATTACTCTCAATTCCTTTAGTCTGGCTTGCCTTCCTTCATAGCACTCATCATCATCTACTTTATTAATCTATTTACTACTTGATTTGCTGTCTGTTTCCCCTCACACACACCACTAGAATGCAAGCACCATGAGAGCAGGGACTAAATTCTACCCACTAGTGAATCTCAATGCTAGCATTGATGCCCAGTATACAGTGGCATCTAAGACATGTTTACTGGGGAAAAAAAATGGGTATTTGTATTAGTTTGAGAAAGATGTGACAAATTCTTCGCATTTGTTGTCTTAAAAGCTATTTTATACACCCAAATGGAAACCAACATATGCATTTATAACATAAAGAATAGAGAATTTAATTAATATGTATAGCCATCCCATCACTTGAAAGATTTACCCTCATCAGATACCTATAACTTTGGGCATTTTCTGGGTAACAGCAGGACTCCTTAAGATAAAACATAAAACGACTAACAGTAATTACCCTAGGCAAAAATGGGTGGGTAGGGAGAAACGGGTATTTATCATGACCTGTACTGTGTTTTTTAAAAAAACTTTTTCGTAACTATTGTATTTTTTGTAAGTTTTAGGCACTTGCCAGATTTTGCATTGGTTTAAGTTATGTCAATTCATGTCCACCAGAGCGTAAACCCCTTGAGATCACGGCCCAGTTTATACATCTTTGTATGCTCCTATAATACCTAACTCAATGTATTGCAAATAGAAGGTGATCTGAAAATATATTTACCAAATGAAAAATATATGAGTACCAAATCAAATATTACATATATATTAGTATATATTCTCTGAGTATATCTTATACATTCTGGCAGTAAAGTAAGAGTTTTTAAATCTATCATTGCCTTGCTTATACACATGCTGTTTGAATCATTGCCTTGCTTATACACATGCTGTTTAACAAAGATCATAAGTCTTCATAAAATTTAAGATGGGGGAGTGGAGAATTTTTAAATCTGTACAAAGACAAAATGTGCTAAAAATATTTTGTTGTAATTAGCAATAGCATTGCAGAACATAAAAAGCAGAATGTTTCAACCTGAAAAGTCTACACCATAAAAAAGATGATGCTACTTCAGTCCAGACTTGCTAACTGGAAATATCTTCCTATGCTATCCAAAAGATTACCTAAATCTCAATGGGATTATGGAAGACTATTCAGTGTATTCTTTTAGTGTATTTCCAGAAAATACAACCAAGCCTTCTAGGGCGGATTCACCATGAATATGATGAAGCTCCAGCTGCAGGGAGGGCCTCTCCCTTGCTCAGGTAAGGAAGCCTCAGCACTGTGCTCAGGTTATCTCTTTTCCAGGAGTCTCCACCCATCTGACACATACATAAACTTCAGGCCCACCCCCTGCCAGGCCTTCATTAGAATACTGCCATTAAGAAAACTAGGCTAGCATTTGCAAAAATGGTCTGAAAGTCATGTATTGACTTAAAGCATTTCTCAACAGTCCAAGTAGAGAGAGGCAAACAGGGTCAATGATATGTATCTTTGCAGTATGGGTCCTATTGCTTTTCCCAGGATACAAGATTTAGTCTTGGAAGCCATGACTAGATGAAAGCAACTTTCATAATAGTAAGCCTACTATTATACATACATAATCCCAATAGTTATTACCCGTAAAAACTAGGTAATGCTTCATAGTCAAACCAGATTGCTAGTGCTCGGTATTTATCTTCAATAGTAAATACATTGTCCTTATTGCTGCTAAATATAAGTGGTTAAAATAAAAGCAGATTCATCCTGAATTCGAGTCATGTATCACAACAGTAAGCAGTTAAACTGAAAGTTAATTGCGTGTGGTTAATTAAACTAGATATGCAACCATTTTTGACACGAAGGTCAAAACAAACCAAAAAAACCTGCTGTAATCTCAGCATTGGCTATCGAAGTTTTCAAACCCAAGTAGTGATTCCTTAAGGACCACAGAGAGATTTGCGGGGTGGAGGGACGGCGGGTATTTTTATACACTCATACACTGTCCTATAGTCCTACCTCTACCTCTAACCACCTCCTGTATTTTTAACTTTAGTTTGTCCCCTCTGGTATGTGGTGCTCGGTTAATTCTTCATTGGTGGCTAAAGTGGTACAAATATCTGGTAGTTTTTTGTTTTAAGTATGCCAGCATGTGTTCTTATATTCGCTCCGGTTGGAAAGCTACCAGAGGCTTTCCTTTGAGGGTGGTCCTTCCCCTCCAGCCCTGAACAGATCCGCAGGGCCTTCCCACTCAGCTTGGGACTGGTCCCGGCCATTGCTCCACCATCCGGGCGTCTGGTCCTTGCCCCAGCAGAGACACCTTCAGGAAGGTCTCTTTGGGATGGCCACAGCACCAGGGTAAAGTTACCAGGGAAAGCGAAAAGGTGGCCCCTACGCACTTCCTACAAGACGCAGCCAGTTCCCAGCCCAGGACGCGCCCGAGAGGCGAGGGAAGGGAGTGTCGCCACCGAATCCCAGGAAAGGCCGCGGGACCCACCTCCGGCTCCCTCCCGCTCTCGCCCCCGCCCTCGGCCCCACCTCCCCCGGCTCGCACAAAGCCGTCCTGAAGGCGGGGGCCAGGCCCGCAGGGAGGCCGCGACAGGCGACGCGACCCGGCCGGCGACCTGCGACTCTGGCCGCGCAGGCTGCCGCTCCCCGGCGCGTCCCGAGTTCCCGCTCCCAACCTCCCCCCACCCCCGCCTTCACTTCGAGAGCCCCTGGAGAAGACTCGGTGCGACCCACACAGCCCCGCCTGCCACGTCCGGGGTGGCGGCCCCCAGCGTGGAGCCCTGGGCCCGCGGGGCCCCGGAGGGGCGTGCGCACGCCGTCGGGGCGCGCGCGCATTGCTCAGTCGCGGGCACCCCTTTGCGCCCCGTCCCGGCGCTCACTCGGGGCCTCAAATCACTTCCCCCCATTTTCGAAAGGCCCTTTCCCTGGGCACCTGCCCGAGGTGGCCAAACAATGCGGGGCGGGCCTGGGGGCAGGGAGGCTGGTGGGGGCAGTGGGGAGTCGGCGCCCGCGGCCCCCGCGACCTCGGCCCCCAACGCCTCCCGTCGGGGGCGCACGCGCGGGCGCCCCACACGCGCGCCCTCCGGCCCGGTGCGGGAAGATGGCCGTTTCTGCCTCGGTATAAAAGCTCTTTGTTGCGCTCACACAAAAGCGGCCAAGACCCGCTTTTCCAGCAGGCCCCACGGGCAAATCGAGGGAGCTCGGCTGGACTTCCAAGGGGCCCTACAAGCCTGAGGCGCTGGGCGCAGCTGAAGGACGGGGAACAACAGGCCTCCCGCGCCCATCTACCAAAGCCTGTCAGTATCCAAGTGTTCGTCCGGGGAGCGGGGCTGAGGCCATTCGCTAGGGAGGAAGGAAAGAGGAAAGCCTACTTTTACTATCAAGGCCCAAAGGGGACATTAAACATTCACAGTCTTGTAGGGTTTCTCCCATTAATCAGGGTAGAAACACAATCCGGAAAAGTCTGGATCCACCAAAAAGAAAAAGAAAAAAAGAAAGAAAAAAATACCAACAATAGCAACTTAAAAAAACAAAAACAAAAACATAACAAACCAGTTGCCATCAGCCCAAAGTGGTAGTAGCAGCAGCCGGCGCGTGTGATCCACTTACTTGTCCGACTCTTGTGACATGTTTGATCCAATGAACTCGCTCCCCTTTTCCTGGAGCCTCAGCCTCTGGTGAAACTGGACTTTCAAGTCTGTGCAGGTGAAGGTGTGTGAGAGCGCCCGAGATGGCAGAACAAGAGCTACAGGTAATTCTGCTTTTCCGTCCCCCCTCACCACTCTCGCTCGCTCGCCCGCTCGCGCCCTCACCTAGCCGGAAAGGTGGGATAAGGGAGGGCCCCTCACATGGGGCCCGAGCTCGGAGGCGGCCGGGCGGCGCGGAGTCCTCCTGGATCGTGGCAATGGGCAGACACAGAGCAGAAAGTGGCGGACTTGGGCGGCCACAGGTAACTTTCTCGCCAGGAGCTGAATTCTTTCACTAAAGGGTACAAGCCCGAGGGACGAGCTGCGCGGTGATTGGCTGCGGAGCTCCCTCAGGTGAGCTGCCATTGGCAGAGGCGCGCTCAGGTAAGGCCCTTCTCCAAGTGCAGGTAACTCACTCCGAAGTTTACCTGAGTGGAGCGGCGGCATGCGTGCAGCTCTGCGGCAGCCTGTGGGAGCTGAGGGTCAGTTCTGCGAGTAGACTTCAAGCTACGTTTTCCTCCTTCGCTGAGGCCGGGGTGGGGTAGGGGGACTGAGGAAGCGAAGGAAGGGGGGAGGGACGGTGGTGGCGCGGGGGCGGCGAATGCAACACCTGCAAACACTAGGGATTGTGGGTCGAGCGGAAGGACGAAGGAGAGCTGAACTCAGGTATCCCAAGCCAACCGGAATGACATGCGCAGCACACCAGAAGGCATTTCGTACCCTCATTAAGAGGACTAAAGTTTGACAGTGGCGCAAGGGTACCGGATTAAAGTTACTTTGTGCTGAGAGGGGAAAGGAAACACAGAGATCGTCTGGTCTGCTGCGTCGTAGAATTTCTAACATTCTTAGCCACAACAAACACTTTTCCTGCCCTGGTGTGTGAAAGATAACCAGGCAGATTACAGATTTTCAAATAGGTGAGCATCCCCTCATGAGCTGGGCAGGTGGGGAGTGGTTTTGATGCACTGAAGAAATTGGGTTGACGCTAGGATGGCCCAGGCGCACCTCTTGGATTCTCAACTCTGCAGCCTGGGATTCCAGAGCTGAAACAACCACTGATTTCGTTCCATAAACCTGTTGTCATTTGACGTTTCCAGGCAGGCATCAACATTTACATTGTAATTCGATAGAAGCAACTACTACAAAGGTGCTTTATCCTACCAGCTTAATACGGTTGCCACAGAAACACTGCAGGATGAAACTGACTTTTTTGTGGTTCTGTTTCTTCTGGGCAGGAACAACGCAAATTAGCAAAGGTGTAATTTATAACCGCTGCTACCAAAGAGTAGGGTATTTGTGGAAGTTCTGGCAGGGGTGTAACCCATACATGTGGATTGTGGAAATAAAAGAGGACATGGAAAATCTCACCATATTTTAAGTTAATATTAAAGCTGCAAGGATTGATACAATTTCTATTATTTTAATCTTTATGGGTCACATATTTCTTGAAAATTGCATGATGAGATGAGGTTTGGTTGTTCCATGCTTTCACTCTCAGCAGATGAATTTCAAAATGTTATTCTTTTTTAAGACAATAAAAGCACACATGTACTTTTTTAAAGATAATTTAATATTTTAAGATATGGCAGATACTCCTTTAATATACTATTTTAAGATAATGCAGTATCTACCTTCTCCATCTCCTTTCTAGAGGCGGCCACATTCCACTTTTAGCTGCCTCTTCTGTCCTTTACTTCCCTATTTCTAAATAATTTATACTGTTCTGCCTTGATTAATCAATTTAGATGTTGTGCACTAATCACTTGTGGCATCAGATTAGGATTTAGCTCTTTCACTCTATCCAGCTTGCCCTTCCAGCCATTCTTCCAACACAGCTCTTTCACAGTTTAGGTAGTGACTGTGCAAATATCAGTGACAACAGAGCCAACTAGTGTACTCTTATTGTTTTCTTTCTTATAAGACTTTTTATCTATTTGCATAGTTTATCATGCACCTATTCTGACATTGTTCTACAACTGATCTATCAAATGACTATCAAATGTATTTTCCAAATGATCAATCAATTCCATTTTTTCCCCTGGAAACATTCCTCCAAAATCCCATTGTCCTCCTGTTCCCATGGAGATGAGTTGTTCCATAGACCTCCTACCTGGTTGTCATCCTGGGACGCTCATTCATTTGTAGGGTGAGAACCCCATTTCTGTGTCTTATGCCTTCTTGCTTCATTTCCCGTGGCACTTGTTTTACTTGTTTTAGTAACAGCCCAGAAATAGGTACAGAAGGTGAAAGTTTGAGTTCTTGTATACTCAACATGTCTTTATTAAACTTTTGCTTTTTATGAGTTTAACCAAGAATTCTAAGTTGAAATTTTTCATTCATAAATTTATAGAAATTGCTCTTTTATCTTCTAGCTTCCAGTATGACTACTAAGAATTTAAATGTCATCCTGATTTCCATTCTTTTGCTGCCTGGAATTTTTCTTTCTGGAAACTTGTCAAATAATCTCTTTGTCTCTAGTATTCTGAAATATCGTAATTACGTGCCTTAATTCAGGTGTTCTTTTATTTATTATGCTGGGCACTCAATGGACATTTTCAGTCTGGGAGCTTATGTCCAGTTGAGGACATTTTCTTGAAATATTTCTTCAATAATTTCCTCCCCTTTAGGGGAGAGCCATTCTAGCAGAGTAGTTAAAAACATAAAAGCTCTGGAACCAGATAGCCTGAGTTCAAACCCTGGTGCTTCTACAGGACCTTGGGCAAGTCCCTTAATCTCACAGTGCTTCAGTCTCCTCATCTATAAAATGGGGATAATAATAGTGATTACCTCACTAATATACATGAGACACTTAGAATAGTGCCAGACACATAGGAAATCCTCAATTATTGTTCATTCTTATTGTTTCTTTTTGAAATTCCTGGATTAATCTTAGAATGTTCTTTACTGTTGGACATCTCTTCATCTTTTGTTCTGTTTTGGAGGATATTTCCTTGGTTTACTTTTTACTGAAGTTATCTATTTTAAGAGCTCTTTTCAAGTTTCCTGTTATCTTTTAAATAGAATTCTGTGATTATGTCATGGTTGCAATAATTTTTTCTATTTTTTTGGAGTATTTACTTACTGTGAGATTTTCTTGGCTTTCTGACTTGTCTTGGCTTCCTCTGGCGTCCTTTCTCCCCCTGTCATGTTAAAGGCTTTCATCAACTGTCTGCAAATCTTTTACTCTCCTTTCCTAAGTAGGGATGAAGTCATAAAAACCTCACCAGAAACCCTGTATAGGGGTGGAGAAAGTATGCTTGCTCACTGGTGATCAGATGAAAGATCACCTTTTTCATGGGAAGATATCCCAAATGTCAGAAACTAGATATCTTTTCTTTGGGGCTCTTCAGTTTCTCATGAGAAATATCCTACAATTTTTTGCCTGAGGGGGCATTCACTTGGCTGCCAATGTTCTGGAAACAGTTCAGGGGAGGGAGCCTGGGCAAGTCACTGGTTAGTGTGCACCTTCCACGCTCTTTTCTTTCCTGCAGGTGCCTTGCTCCTGCCCTTTGTGCCTGGTGCACAAATATCTCTCCTCTTTCTCCTGCTGGCTGCAAGGAGTGGAACAGAGGACCTGAGGGTCCAACGACTCCAAATGCCAACGTTGACCTGGCCCCTGCCTTTCACTGCCTTATTCTGGGGTCCTGGGACCTCTCCCTTATTCTGGGATCCTGGGACCCCTCATCAGCACTGTTTTCTGGCGATCTCTGGCATCTCCAAGGCCCAGGCCACTTCGGAGTTTTGTGGGCCAAGTGGGTTCTTTCTGTACTGACCTGTATGACCACATTAGAGTGTAGCTGTCAAACCAGTTTTCATTCCTCTTTCCACCCCGACTTTCGGAAATGTGTTGAAATATATCTTTTGCTGATGACTCTTCCTCCATCCTCTTTGCCACTATGGACTTATCCTTTTATGTTCCTTCACTGTTCTTTTTAGGAAAGAATGAAGATAAAGATGTGTGGGTCAATTTACCGTCTTTAATCTGAAGTCCATTTCCCCTAATTATCCAAAAGCTTTTACCAAACTGTCCCAAATTTGTTTGTGCAAACAAAAGCAGTGTTTATAGCCAAACCATTCCTTTTGTTGCTTTATGAAAGCCTCCTTTCTTCCTCTCTAACAGCTAATAACTCAGCTTTGGTTAGATAACTTGGTGTTACCCTGATTGCCAAACTATGGCTAGATAGATGGCTAGATTAGTAAAGGGGAAGGTTCAAATGGACCATTTTAAGTCGTCAACCATAAAATTACTTTCATTACTCAAATGTTTTGACTTTTTTGGCGGAAGAATTGTAAATAAATATGAAAGTTTCTGCCACAGTGATCATGGGACTATACTGTCCTCCCTCCAAACATCTTTATCCATAAGCACTTCAGCACAGCAGTGGTTCCCAGACTGTGTCTCTAGATGACCAATCAGCGTCAGATCACCTGGGAACTTGTTAGGAATGCAGATTCACCAACCAACCCCAGACTTACTGGATCAAGAACTCGAAAGGGTGGGCAGCAACCTCTTTTTCTGACAAGCCAGGTGGTTCTGATGCATATTAAGGTTTGAGAAACACAGTAGTGACAGGATGAAGAAGCACGTCTGTAGCCATTGAAGGCCATCATCCTAAATTATGCTAGACATTGAGTTTCCCAGCAAATAACCACAAAGTAATGGATGTGGTTAGTCAAGCCAGTGACAAGATGACGCTGCTTTTAGACTAAATTATTTCACTTAAGAGATGAAAGTTTTAATTAAAATATGGGGAAAAATAAGTTAAAATAAGTAGTATTATTTCAACTATGATTTAAGTGATAGTCTTTACTATCTATTAATATGGCTAATCCCATTTTCTTAAAGTAAGAAGTGTTTAGTATTTGAAGCTATATTGTCATTTTATTATGCTGAATCTTTTATAGGGAGACTTGGGGGAAAGGATGCCATTCCAGGGCATCTGGGCGGAAGAATCCAGTTTTAAAGGGCTGCATGTCTAGTGGAACAAATCTGCTTGCTGAGTACTCTTCTGCTACACATTATCACGCACAGAGCCACTACAGCAGATCTGCCATACACTCTACTGTGAAGCCGTGACAAGCAGTATCTCCTAGGTTGTTTTGCACTATAAAAACATTAACTTGGTGAATTGGCTATTATCTCCAAGAAGGAACCCTGAGAAGAACAAAATGTACCTTGATGCTTGAATTTGAAATCAATGTAGAGATTTATAAGGTAACCAACTGAGCATTAAATGGCAGTTCCCTTGCAGTTTGGGGCCACTCACTCAGCCGGTTGGTTTGAACATTTCCTTCAGGGTAGCGAATGTTTCTGTTGCTGGAGCTGGCCACTGGTAACCCTTCAACAGAAAACACGGTCCTGTTAAAACCGCATTGAACACATCTTTATCTCTACTCCTTCCTGAATCCTCACTGATAGATGAACAAGAGAGGAGGTGAGAGGATTAAAGATGACAACAGGCCAGGCAGGGTGACTCACACCTGTAATCTCAGCACTTTGGGAGGCAGAGGCCAGAGGCTCACTTGAGGCTAGGAGTTCGAGACCAGCCTGGGCAACACAGTGAGACCCTGTCTTTAAAACAAATTTTAAAAATTAGCCAGGCCCAGTGGTGTACACTATTTGTCCTAACTACTTGGGAGACTGAGGCAGAAAGATCACTTGAGCCCAGGAGTTCGAGGCTGCAGTAAGCTCTGATCACACTACCACCTGGGTGAGAGACCCTGTCTCAAAAAAACGGTGACAACAACGTTTGGAAATTGGAAGTGACTAAAAGAGTAGGAATTGATTTAGCAGAGTTGAGAAAGATGAATCTGAACATCTGTCAACGCTGTAGATCAAGCCTGTTTGGCCTGTGGAACCTCAGAAAGACTTAGACAATCAAGTTTCCAGTTATCATTGAAGGTGGGAGTGAGTGGTAAGGCTGATACCAGAGGGATTGGTTCAAAAGCTTGACAGAGCTGTTACACCCCATGTCCCCATCTCCACCCAGCACAATAAAGGTCCCATCTATTCTAGTTTTCTAGGGCTGCCATAACAAAGTGCCACACACAGGGTAATTTAAACACCAGAAGTTTATTTTCTCACGGTTCTGGAGGTTGGAAGTCCAAGATCAGGTTGCCAGTGGGGTTAGCTTCTTCTGAGGCCTCCTTCCTTGGCTTGCATGTGGCCAACCATCTTACTGTGTCCTCACATGGTCTTTTCACTGCAAACACATATGTCCGTGCCCCAGTCTCCTTCTTATAAGTCACATTAGCTTAGCGTGCCCCCATATGACCGCATTTTACCTTAATTACCTCTTTAAAGGCCCTATCTTTAAATACAATCATATTCTGAGGTACTGGGGGTTTAGGAACTTCAACAATGGAATTTGGGGAGATACAGTTCAGCCCAAAACACCGTCATGCCTCCTCCATGCTGGCAAGAGACAGATGTGTATTTTAGTCAAATTGAACCAGGAAGACTTCCCGCTTGGGTACATCAGGGGGCTCATCAGGAGTGAGGCACTAGACCTACAACGAGGGGAGTAAGTGAAGGTCCTATGCTAATCAGGGAGATGCCACGTCCTAGCTTCCTCCCCCCAGGGGCCAAGCTTGTACCACCACCACCCGTGCCCCTCCCCCAAGGCCAGAGATGAGGGGATCTGGATCTTTCTTTGAGTAAATTATAAGGTCTTAGAAAAAAGATCTGCAGATATGGATATGTGGGTGTTCCCCAATCAGAAAGAGAGAGAGAGAGAGGATGGAAGAGAAAAAAGGGAGAAGCCTGCTGTCTAACATATGTCCTTTCAACAAAGCCCACCGGTCCCACCCTCACAGAGAGCCTCCAATAAGTTTTTTGTGCCACACACAAGTACAAACATGAGGTCAGGGATCACCAACATTTAAGAAAAACCTTAAAAATGAAGTATAAAGACCAGAATAGGTCAGGAGCGATGGCTCAAGCCTATAATCCTAGCACTTTGGGAGGCCAAGGTGGGAGGATCACTTGAGCTCATGAGTTCGAGACCAGCCTGAGCAAGAGCAGGACCCTGTCTACTAAAAATTAGAAAAGTTAGCCAGATGTGGTGACGTGTGCCTGTAGTTTCAGGTAACTCGGGAGGTTGAGGCAGAAGGATTGCTTGAGCCCAGGAATCTGAGGTTGCTGTGACCTAGGCTGACACCACGGCACTCCAGCCTGGGCAACAGAGTGAGACTCTGGCTCAAAAAAAAAGAAAAAAAAATTTTTTAAAAAAAGATCACAATAAAAGTCTAATTAAAAGGAATACTTTGAGAAAAAACAGATAGTACAGAAATGGGATAAAAATTATCTAATTAAGAAGAAATATCCATGAAATAAGAATAACATACTATTTAAGAGCACCAAAACAAATATTAGAGAATCAAAAAGAGCTTATGAACATTAAAAATATAAAAGCTGAAATAGATATAAAACCTTTAATGGAACGTTTAAAGATAGAGTCTAGGAAATCTCGCAGAAAGTAGAACAAAAAAACAGTGAAATGGACAATTAAAAAGATAAGAAAATTGTAGGGTCAAGTAAGAAGATATAATACATGCCTAACAGATGTTTCAGAGAGTCGAAAAAGTGGTGGGGAGAAAATTATTAGAAAAAAGTTAAAATATGATTTTTAAGAACTAAAGTATTATAAGTCTGTTGATTGACAGAACTTAGTGCTCAGCACAGTGAATTCTAAAACCTGCAAATTAAGGTGATTATCATTAAATTTCTGGACTGACCTTTCTAGAGAGCAAAAATAAAATGAAATAGGCAAAAAACCTGCTCACACACAAAGGATCAAGAATCAGGATATATTAGACTTTTTAGCAACACTACTAGCTTGAAGATATTGGAAAAATGCCTTTAAATATTGAATACTATGCCTAGACAAGTTATCAATGAAGTTTAAAAGTAGAATAAAATTTAATTTCATAAATGCAAAGTTTTAAGAATTGCCTCTCATATACTCTTTCTCAGAAAGATACTGGATGATATCTTATTGAAACATGGGAGAACTCAAAAAAGGGACAGTCTTAAGATTCAGAACACAGGGTAGCCAACAGAAGAGAAAGAAGGAAGTCAGAGAATGATGGCTTTGTAGCAGGCTTAGAGAGTAACTGGACTTTTCTGTCAACAGAGATCCCTGGATGGGGACATAGAGGGAGAATCCAGCTATTCAATTTAAGATTGTGGGAAATTATACTGATAGATTCTTTATGGATGTGGAAAGTATCAGCGATCAGTACAGAAAAAACCAAGCAGATATTTAGCATTCAGCTCTCCAGGGGGGAAAAAAGGCACGAGAATGGAAATATAATCCTATTAATCCTAGCACATACCTGGCTCAACAGTGAATGATATTCATATGATCGTAATAATAGAATTACTGAACAACAATTTACTAAAACTGGTGATAAAACTCAATTGGGAAGGTAGAAGGAGGAAGATACTGGTGTTGCGAGGATAAGAAGGAAGAGAAGGGAAGAGGAGAAAGAGAGTTCTGCCATCATCTGGTACAGAAGAAAGGTGATAGTTGTCTAAAACTCACAAATCAAGAACTAGCAATAGAAGCATCAGTGAGGAACGTCTTTGGCTGCTGGTAACATCAAGGCTGACTAACAGTAGTTGAGAAAAACAGGATTTAGTTTTTCTCACGTGAAGAAAACAATGGTCTAAAAGTTAGCAGCCCTGGCTTTGGTCCTGATGCTCAGTGATGTCAGTTCTGGCATCTCTAAGATTCTCTTGGCCTTTTCCCTGTGGGCACAAAGTAATCCCTTCAGCTCCAGCCATTGCATCTGTCTTTAAGGCAGTAAGAAGGAAGAAGGGGAGTTTGCTAGCCTCAGCCATGCCATTATCAGGAACGCAGCGTCAGCATTGATATTAGAAGTCTCCAACGCACCTTCAATTTATGTCTCATTGGCCAGGACTGGATCACACAGTCACCCCGTCTGCAAAGGCGGCTGGGAGAGTGCACATCTAGCTTTTGCAAGCCCTGAAGTGGAAAGGAAAAATTGGAAATGTATTCTGGGTTAGCCAATTGGCTAACTGGTCAGCATATTGTTTAGAAATATAAAAGTAAACGATAGCATTGTAAAAAGAAAGTTCAGTGAATGAAAAAGAGTTGCTTCTTTAGGAGTGGAACTGCAAAGTGAGAAGGAGTGAGGCATGGACTCTAAACAACTTTATTTTCAATATTATTGCTCAATGTGATTATTTGACTTTTAAAATTATGTAGTTGTATATATATTTCATACTCACATATATCCGTATAGACACAATTTTGATTAAAATAAATTAATTTAAGTAATTAAAGTATAAATTGCAAATGTGCTGTGCTCTTTCTTGCCCAGAGTCTTTGCATTTACAGATCTGTCTCCTCAAAACTCTATCTTTCTTTCCTCTCTCAGCCAACTAGCTCCCACCCTTCCTTCCAGTCCTTGCTCAACTATCTCCCCCTCAGGAAAGCCTCTTCAGCTCTCCCAGATTAGAGACAGGTATGCTGGGAAGATACATTTCCTTATTATTCATTCATGTAGCAATATGCTCCTCTTCTTTATTTTTATTTATTTATTTTTTTGATACAGGTCTCACACCGTCACCCTGGGTAGAGCCAAAGTGCAGCCAGCTAGTAGCAGCTTTACTAAGGCTGAATAACTTCTCTCTTTTTTTGCCAATTAATTTCTTTCTATTTTTAGTAGATTCAGGGTCTTGCTCTTTCTCAGGCTGGTCTCGAACTCCTGAGCTCAAACAATATGCCTGTCTCAGCCTCCCAGAGTGTTAGGATTACAGGCGTGGGCCACCATACCGGCCTGAATAACTTCTGTTACAGGACAAGAAATCTGGGGACTGGAACAGAGGGAGGCAATTGTTGGCTAGTATTAGATCAACAACTCCATAACTC